CTAACTCCTGCCTGGCGACCAGCCACCAGACACTAACTGCCTGCGTTGTGTCAAGGGTGGCTCCTTCTCCTTCTACAAGTTCCCAAGTGCACCAGTACAGCCGCGGCCGGTGACACCAGGTCAGGTTTCCAGCATCAATGCGCACTGGCTGCGCACCAAAGTCGCTGCTCATGTGATCCCTGTCGACATGGTCCATGGAGCTCACACACTCCATCAGGGTGTGCACCTGACACCACCGAAAGTGCTCTTTGACTAGCTGCGTGATCCTTGAAACGTGGACATACAAGCAGGATCGTGCGTCACGCAACGCCCCTTTGCGATCCGCGTTCAACCCCGAGACGCCTTGACACGGCGGCCCGGCACCGATCACGACAAGTGCCGCCTGTGAGAACTTCAGGCTCCATCCCCTCACATCCTCATCCTGCACGGCCGCCACATCGTCGTAGTGGATGACCCCGGGATAGTGCGACTCCACAACCCTGCGCGCTGTTGGTTCCTTTTCGACAGAGATGTACCCCAAGACAGAGACGCCTTGTAGCTCCGTGGCCACACGTAGTGCTCCTATCCCATCGAAGAGTCCAATGACCACCACCTGCAATGAGTCCAGGGGCAGAGACCTCACGCAAATCACCCTCAACAGCCATGCTGCCCACCGAAGTCAGGCCTGCTGACCGGCATACTCCTCCTCCACTCAGCGAAGCGTCCGAGCAAGTCACCATAGGGTGTACCTCAGTGCGGAAGTCCATTCGAACTAGCGGCAAAAGACAGAGATAGATAGCGCAGGAGTTCCTCCTTGCATTCCTGTGGTAAGGGTTGATACCTGGTCTCCACCTTGTTGAAGCTCTCAATGAACCGCCACACCGCGTTGAGGGCGCCTAACATTGGCCTCCTAAACATGGAGAAGTATACCAAACCCCCACACACAACCTGCATGTGGCGCTGACTAACCTTCCGCTTCTGCAACAGGGTGACCGCAAGGCTGAAGTACTTCTCCTGCTTAGCTTCCTTGGGCAATGCCACTCCTCGGAGCCCATCCACCGTGGCCCCCTGGAGCTCACATCGCGAGGAACGCTCCACGGCCTTCTTCACGTTCCTCGGGACCTCCCAACGCTCATATACTCCTGGCGCAGTGCCAGAATCCCTTCCGGCACCGTTCCCTCGACTTCGACCATGCCTGTCGCGACCACCTTCTCCAGGACGTCATAATTGTCGAGGTAGACACGCCAACTCGGATTAGCCACGGTGAAGCTCCTATCCTTCCGGAGCTCAGCTTCATCCACGTGCGCTGCCCTACCGTCAACTGTTGACCACCGCACTAGGTTCCTGTGCACGTGCTGTGCAATGCTCACCGAGTTGAGGAAGCCCATGGGTAGTACCCTTGAAGCGAGGTAGACGGTATGCCCTTGTAGGTCGGGTGGTAGGACATGGTCAGGGACAGCTTTGTTGAACGCTAAGAACTTTGTCCAGCAACGTGGCACCCTCATGGTATAAAAAAAGCATTTCACATCCTCAGATGATATCAACAGGTTCTCGTCAGGCTGGAGGAAATAGGGGTTCATCGTTCCCCAGGATGGGAGTGTGTCAACATCTCCTCCCAGGGGTTCACAAAGCTCATTGAGCGGTACAAGGTTCATAATAAGTCTACAAACCTCGATGTTCTCAGGTGTCCACTCTTCCTTGGAGACGCCAAATAGACCATTCAGGAGTGGGGTACTCCCGACATGGAACACCTCACACTCCTCCAGGTAGCAGCAAACTCCCGATTCAACAAGCCCTGTGCGCATCTCCCCCCATGCACTATCTTCAACCATTACCTTGGGTCGTGAAACCTCACCCCACAGGTGGCAAGGCTTGAGGAACCGATCAAACGACTCCACATACTCCCGACAGCCCAAGGAGCACACCTCCTCCAGCGGCCCTGCCCCAATCTCCTTTGGCAGCGCCGGCCCGATGTTTGCCCAGGTGACCCACTTTGCCACCTTCACCTCGTCGCCCTTGTAATCTATACCCCGAACCGCGAAAAACGTAGTCCAGTCAACACCCACACTCTTCAGTCCAAGCTCACAAAAACGTTCAACCTCGTTGAAAAGCCCTCTCAATACCTTTTCCTGCAGATCCGAAGCCTCAAAATCATTGCAAAGGGGTCCACCCCAAAATGAATTCAACCCAACACAAACACATCGCATCCACTGCCAAGATTCCTCGCACCCAGAAGGCCACAAAGTCCTAAAAAATTCAATGGAGGTGGGCATCGGAAAGACAGATTTACTGGTTCCCTTGCCCGTGGTCTTGCTGCGAAGTGGTGAAACCTCCATGAACCAACGAACCAGCAGCCCCCCGAGTTCCGAGAAAGGTCGACCGACGAGATTCGTTCCCTCGCTCACTTTTTGCGCTGACCTCACGTCGGTGTCAGGCGCCTTCACCTTACCCGCTTCGCTCACAAATGGCGGGGGCATCGGTGGGAATTGTCGTAGTGCCTTGTCTCCCAACGAGGGCGACATCGTGGTAGGCTGATCTACAACAGCCTGCATGCTTCCATCAAGCCCGACTGCACCGGTACCCAGTGCTCCAACCAGGTCTCCAACCCATTCAGGAGCGCCGTCTCCCGCTGCAGCAATGCAACCCGTTATACTCGATCTCAAAGTCCTCCCGTCACCAGGAGTGGTCACTTGCTCTGCTGATCCTCCTTGGGGTGTGGTTTGCCTTTCTCCTTGCCTCCTTTTCCTTTGCCCTTCTCTCGCCCTTTGTCTTTGCTCTTGCCGCCCGACTTCCCGCCCCTCCGGGTAGGATGCAAGCATGCGGGTCCGAGCCTCGGTATGAGCAGCCCGTTGCGCTGACACCAGTTCCTCTTGACCTGTCATGCTCAACAAATCGCCCGGCCCGATCTCGAGCCTTTGTGTCACCGACCAGTGACTTCCCATGAGTCCCGCTTCTACCGCTTTCATCCTCTGGAGGAGAACATCTAGGGCCTTGGAGGGCCTTGACCTCAGCATCAGGTCGACGGCCATTGCAAGCGTCAGCAGCTCGCGGGCGGCCGGGCCTGTGGCCCGCTTCTGGAGGCGCTGCCTCATGTAGAGCATGGCCACTGGCCCCAAGGAGCCGCTCACCTGTTCGGCTCCTGCCTCTTGCAACAGGTTTGCGCGCATCGTTGTAAGGGCTTGCCATGCCAACGCCCCAGGTGCCCTTTGGGCTACCCGTTGTATCTTCGTCTCCCCTTCGAAGAGCGTGTCCTCCACCTCCTCGCCAATGTCGCTGGTCTCCTTCGACGAGGAGCTTCCGCTCCCGGAGCTGGTCTTGTCCTTGGTCTTGCGCTTTGCAGCTCTCTTGGCACGATGTAGGACCCTTCGGCGGACTTTTTCTCTCCTGTCCAACCCTGTTCCCGCGTACAAGGCATCGAAGTCCTTCATGGATGCCAGTCGCGGCTGCCTGCCATCCAGCTTGGCGGATCTGCTGCTGGAGGTAGAGCTCGATCTCCTTCTCTTGCTGCTCTTCGCCTTCTCGATCTTCTCCTCCTTCTCCTTTGGACTCGGACTGCGACGTTTCTCCTTCTTCTTCTTCTTCGGGCTCCTTCCCCTGCTTCTCTTCTTCTCCTTCTTCTTTCCCTTCTTTCGGCCGGAGCTCCGCTGTCTGTCCTTGTCGTCTTCGGCCATTTTTCCTCCATCTTCGGGATGATCTCCTCGAGCAGGAGCCAAAGCGGCCTCCCGAACACGCAAAGCGGCAAGCTAGCCTGGATCGACTGGGTCGACTGCCTCTAGGCTGCGCATCCAACCTTCTTCTCCTCCCATTCGTGAAGGTCGCTTCATCCTCAACCCGTGAACCAGGTCCTCTGCTATGCGCTCGCCTGTGCATGTGTTGGGGCATCGATGTACCCTGATGCATGCGCCGGGCTTCCCGCTCTGGTATTTGAGAAGAGCTTCCGATGTCGTTCCAGTCACACTGATCTGGTAGTGGATGGCTTCCGGCTGGACGTCCACGCCCTTCAAAGTCCCAGCCACTTTCATCTCGGCTCCGTAATATGAGGCGTCGGTGAAGGCGATGAAGGACCCAATCTCCAGATCCTCGACTCCTATCTCGTGGACTGCAACCTCGTCGCCTCTCATCCACAGCTCCCGAGGAACAGGAGCTTCGTCCAACGGCCCATGGCCAGGCCGCCTCAACACCCCCAATGCTGCTGGCCTCAACCTCACTCCTCGTGCTCTTGCCTTGCCTGCTGCCCTTACCTTTGCTTTGGCCTTTGGGGCCATTGCTAATACCAACCTGCAAGCCGGCGTTGAACTCCTCGTTCACGATGTTTGACTCCTTTCGACCCTCTTCGCCTCTTCTCAGGGGCGGCTGCCTCCGACTGCGATCTTGACCTCGATGGTGGTCCTCGTCGGCCTCGAGCGTCGCTGCTGCGGTAGTCTGGCGGGGGATGGCTTGGTGACCTGGGTCTCCTAGGTGGAGACGGTGGCTTTGGCAAGTACTGGAAATGGTTGAAGTGCTTGCTGACCGTCCCTTTCGGGGCCGGTACTAGGCCAAGGGGTCCTTAGCAGGAACTTCAGGTGGAATAGGCGATGACTCTGCCTGAGCCTCCGTGGGGGGTTCCTCAACAACCTCCTCCTCGGGTGTTGGGGTCTTTGCCTTCTCTTCCTACTTTACCTCTTTCTCTTTCTTTTCCTTCTTTTTTCTGTTTTGATCTTTCTGCCCTGATCCTTGGGTCTTATGCCTCCTTTTCTTTTTCTTCTTCGGCTCGTCAGCTACTTCTCCTCCTTCCTTGTTCTCACTGCCTGTCTCCTCGGCTTTGAGCTCTCTCACCCCGGGGGTTGCTTCCTCCTCTTTCTTCTCGTCCTCCTCGGTCTTGACAATCTCCGCGGCCTCCTTGTCTGCCTCGATCAACCGACCAACCACAGGGGCCCTAGGCACCCCGAGTGGACCAGCTGCGTTCCCAACAACTATAGGGGCTTCCGCCGGACCTGACTCCCTCTTCTCCTTCTCAAGCTCCGGAGCTGCGACCTCTGCCAGGTCGGTGAGTGCACCCACACACGATCGAAGTGCCTCAACCGCTCTGCCCTCCTGAGATCGGAGTAGGAAGCCCCCACAGAAGATGTCCCTGATCCTTCTGATCGATCGGCAGCCGGTGCAGCTCACAGTGCCTTCCCTGTCGAAGGTGAGGCACAAGGGGCAACGCGAGACTGACATCCAAGCTTGATATATCGGTAGAAGTGTATCTAGAATCTTGGTAAGCTTGCTTTGAGCACACCATGCCGTCACTTGCACCAAGGCGCTGATCAAAATTTTGCACTTTGCCATGCGGTAAAAGCTTCATCGCGCCCCTTTGTCACGAAAACATTAGCAGATTCATTGGCTTCACCATGCTTCACCTGTGAATTGCGAACCGAACAAAACGACACCGGGCTTCCGAGCAGGAGCAACACAGCGGCAAAAAGGCAGTGCAGCGGCAGTGCTGCGACTGTTGACTGTCGGCCTTTGTAGCGAAATTCCGGTCAAAGCGCACAGCTGTTTTGCCTCAGAGCGGAGAAATAAGGGTTCTTGAAAGCACAAAGTTTAGAGACTTTCTGGATACATTTAGTCCACTTGTTTAGTATTGCAAAGGTGAGACAATTTGAGAAGAGAAGTTCCTCACAAACTTTCTCGCCGGCCATCCAGCATTGCCCTGAAGAGCTGCCTGACAGCTACAGCTACACATTGGATGGAGACCGGATGCTTTTGTAACAAATCTCATTTCTCACCTGGGCCCATGTCATCCGGCTGGCTGTTACTTGAATCATCTTTAGTCCGATTTGCATTGATCAAATTATTACACTACACTACACTACACCTTCCTGCCACTATTAGTGTCACAAGTTACAATCTAATAGGACAGAGGAACTGTGGTGGATAGTCTTAGACTCAATGCCAGAACATGCTGTGTGTGTCACAAGCCACAAACGGTGGAATTAAATGGGGGCCCTCAAAACTCAAGAACGAATTGACAAAACGCCCATTCAAGCAAGTCAGAAACAAAAGTGTGCTCAGTTTCGTTCGAAAAACGAAGAAACACTTCATGGGCTGCCTGTGCTCCCGTCAACGGTCCGACCGAGCGCCTAGCACAAGCCAGCTGCGAGCGCCGGGCTTGTGCTGCCTGAGGTGCGGAAGAGTTGCAAAAAATAAAGTGCAAAGTAGCTACTACGAGCTACAAGCTACTAGTAGCAAACAGCATCGCCACTAGTAGCAAGGTAGCTACTAGTACACCTGAGCAGGGGGGGGACGAAAGCCAGCTGCTGTTAGACGAGCTTCTCTTTTTCTTACTAGGGGGCAGGGGCCCTATGCGGATATGTAGTCAACCTCGCAGGCACCCCCACCGAAACTCGACCCAAATTCATGGACTTGAGCTCACTATCTATGGATTTGGCGGGTTGCGGGCTGTCCTGGGAACTCGTATCCTACGTGCGGCTGCGGTCTGCTCTGTACGTGGGCCCCTGTCTCCACTCTATGCCCATTGTCCAAATAGTATCCAAAACCCTTCATCATATTAATAATGCGCCACTCAACGTCCATTACGTCGCATCACCAGACCCCATTTTCACTGCTTTTCGGACCCTCGCTTTGGAGCGCTCTCCCCCACCAAGCTCTGGGTTCACCCTATCAAAAGGTCCTGCTTAGCGACCACCCCACCCCCAAGCTCAAGCCTTGCCTATCGGCCGGCTTTCGTAAAATAGACTTAACTAATTTTAAATAGCCTAGCTACTAGTATGGATGCAGGATAGTTCCTTGAAGAAGCGCTCACACTAATGACTTGGTTCCTAGACTTTTTGGGAAACTTAACTTAACAAGTGACGGGGATTGACCGGGCAGCAGGAATGACAACTTCAAAAACAATGCGATGGCCTCCAACCTAAGCCTAAGAGCGATGGCCTCAAACCTAAGAGCGATGGCCTCCATTCTAATTAATAGCGATGGCCCCCAACCTAAGAGCGATGGCCTCCAACCTAAGAGCGGTGGCCCAACCTAACAGCGATGGCCTCTAACTTAGGAGCGATGGCCTCCAAAAGCCTGCTATTTCTGTAAACATCTGCACTTCCTCTCCCCTAACGGTTCAGCTGTCGTTGCGCTCTTCGCCCGAGCTTGCCTGTTCTCTGCCGTCCTGGACACGACTATGCATCTTCTGCTGAAAAAGCTCCTAGTAGCGTCCTTGCTCCTAGTAGCGATGCCAGGAGCCCCTAGTAGTGTCCTTGTTCCTAGTAGCGATGCCAAAAGCCCCTAGATCTGAGCTTCGGGAGCACTTGCTTTTCGTTTTTCTGTTCTGTTGCTCAAACTTCCCGCAGAGTTTGTGGCCTCAGCGCATTTTTGCTGCTCCATTAAATCCTCAGACTTGCTTCGGGGTTTGATGAACAACCGGATCTTTGACAGGATAGATCCAACCAAAGCTGGATCGTTCTTGCAATCAGAGCCAACATTCACCCTGAGCAGCCCGAGCAGTCATCTGTCTGTTCTTGTCCAAGACGTTTCGCAAATCTGCCTTTCAATGGTAGATCTTGCCCGGCCGTGCCCCGCGGCTGGGAAAATACACACCCAAACCCTCCAACCTCCTATGTACTCTTCGTTACTCTTCGCCTCTCGATGTTTTTTGTTGGCCTCACCACTCTTTGCAAGGTGTTTTCACAGGATCCCGGCAAGATCTTTTCCCACTGTGCAAGATCTTTAACATTCCCGTTAGGGCTTCCGCGCGAGATCTCTGTCTGCAACTCTGTGCAAGACTGTTGATTCTTCGAGGTATCTGTGGAAGATTTGCAGGGTCCCGGTAGAAATCTCTTTTGTCTGAAGAGTAGAAGACTCTTCAGAGCCCTGAAATCTGCGAGAGACTTTAGTACGGCAAATTGTGCCGCGTGACCCTACCCTAAGTCACCCAAATTAGTAATTTTACTAACCATAAAATTTATGTAAATTTTTGGTTTTACTAAGGAAAATTTACGTAAAAATTTACGTAAATTTAATACTAAATCCAATTTAGGTTATTAGTAAATCCAATTTAGGTTATTAGTAAATTTTTTAGGTTATGAGTAAATTTTTGTGAGCATGATTTTGAAACAGAAAATGTCTCTATTTATGTGAGTTGGCTTTCTCCAAAGAGGCAGGTTTTCTACAGGACAATATGTACTTGAGGATATTTGCGCTATGGATTTTTGTTTTTGTTGACTGAGCATGCCAGGAGGTGTGGACTTTGCCTTTACTTGAAGGGATTGCATTTGCTTGGGCATGTGTACCCTTCTTGACTTGAACAAAACATTTTTACTTGAGGGTGTCTACTTGAGGGAGTAAATTTACTTGAAGATATGTACTTTTCTTCACTTTAGGAAGAAGAGCATTCTCTGATTCTCTGATGGTTTTTGCCTGTGTGAGGGTGCATGTTTTATGTGAGAGATCTTTTGGCTCTGTGAGAAGAAGAAAAAGAAGAAGAACAAGAGACACCTCAGCAAGAAGGAAACAAGCAGTGAAAGGGCCAGGAAATTGCGCAAAGCTGACAAGATTCTTGGACTGAACTTTAAACAAGTTTGTTTGTTGAAAATTAATTGTTCAAGTTTGTATTAACTGCAGCAAATGAACATGAGTTATGTCAATGTTGGCTTGAAACCATTGTCAGGAGGCGTGACCGCATCAATGCCATGATGGGCTTGATGAGGACGCTGGGAGATGACAGCAGTTCATCTCTGGAATCCTTGGAGTGAAAAAGACACAAGCAGCCTTTGGGGTAGAATTGAGGGCACGCATTGTGACATGATGTTGAGAAGCTGTTACATGAAGAAGATCTGACTTTACTTGAGAAGCTTTTGCATGAGGGTGTGACTTTACCTGTTGAGCTTTTACTTGAGGATGTGATTTCACTTGAGCATGGCACACTTTACTTGAGCATGGCGGACTTTACTTGAGCATGGCACACTTTACTTGAGCATGGCAGACATTACTTGCGGATGGTTTTACTTGAGTGTATTTTACTTCAGTGGTTGAGACTTTGTGTAAGTATACTTTACATGAGGATGCCATTCAACTTGGAATTGTGCGCTTAGTCTTGTTTAGTTTTGTTGTGAGTTGAAGTGTATTTGATATGTATTTATGAAATTTAGTTCAAAAAACTATAAATTTAAGAGAAAATGTTGATGAATTCTTGATGAACTTTTGATGCACTTTTGATGCGCTTCTGATGTACTTTTGATGTACTTTTCAAAAGTGTATACACTTTTGATCAAAAGTGTATACACTTTTGTTAAAAGTGTATACACTTTTGAAAAGTACATCAGGAGTGCATCAAAAGTGCATCAAAAAATCATACAATTTTTTGACAGATTTTATGAAAAGCTATGATATTCTGCATCATATTGTCAGCAAAAAGATATCTAGCATTCTTGTGGGTTTATCCTTTACCTGAGAATGTAATGCTTTTGCACAAAGAGTTGATCAGCATTGTACGTTGTTCAATTTGAAGTTGGTTTATCCTTTACCTGAGAATGTAAAGCTTTTGCGCAAAGAGTTGATAAGCATTGTATGTTGTTCAAATTGAAGTTGGTTTATCCTTTACCTGAGAAGGTAATGCTTTTGCACAAAGAGTTGATCAGCATTGTATGTTGTTCAAATTGAAGGTGTTGAGAGTTTACTGCGCAGCTGGCTTATTGGTTGTTGTTTACTTTTGCAGCTAGATTGATCTCAAAGAGCTTTGAAAGGTTTGAAAGATAGGTGCAGTAGCTTGTTGGCATTGGCATGGCAGAGGAAGAGATTCCCATGGGCCAAGTCACTCCTGAGGAGAAGGACGATGGTGTAGTTGAAGAGCCCAGTACACCTGTGAAGCAAAGGCCAGCTTCCAAAGCAAAGACCCCAAAATCCAAGAGCCCAAAAGCAAAGAGCCCTAAAGGGAAGAAGCCCAAAGCAAAAGGAAAGAGCAAGCCAAAGCCAAAGGCAGGCTCTTTGAAAAGGCCTGCTGCCAGTGGAGAAACCGTACAGCCAAAGAAGAAGCCAGCAGCTCATGGCTGGGCAGCAGGGTTGCAGGAGGATCAGGAGGAGGAAGCGCCAGAAGTTGAAGAGGATGAACCAAGAGAATGTGGAGGAGGAGGAGGAGGAGGAGGAGGACAATGCAGACTTCTTCGAGTGCGATGTGGCCAAGAAGGACAGGTCGAAGGACAACAAGTTCAAGGCCTTGTTGTCTGAGGGCTCTCTGCCAGACTATGTTGCGCAGGCTTGGAAGAAGACCTTGAGCATGAAGAAGGGACGCACAGAAGAACAGCGCAAGATAGTGAACCAAGTCCTGGACAGGACAAAGGATGGAAAGCTCATGGTGCTTATACCCAAGTTATTTTTCTTGCGCTTGTCTTTCCTGCGCGCTTATACCTGAGTGTGTGTGCTTGTGGTTTTAGCCAAGTGTCTCTACTTGTGGCTATATGTTTTACAAATCACTTTCTTCAAAAGATGTGTTTTAGATGCAGTTTTGAATATTTGCAAATCAAAACGTAATGAAAAAATAGGAAAACCCTTAGTGAAGACCAACCTAAATAAATTTAGGTTGTACCTAAATCAAATTTACATTTACTAACCCATTTACACTTTTTGCAACCTAAATTCATCAATTTACGTAAATCCAATAAACATGTAAATTTACTAATTTCGGTGACTTAGGGTACGAACTCTTGACCTACAGCAGGCCTTTACTGCCGTAAGAGCTCGATTGTGGTAGAAGGCACACACCTTTGATTGTCATGCATACCTATTCCTTAGGATCGTCCTGGGGGCATGACTGACCCCCATTAGCTAACACAAGAATGCTGCAGAATGAATGAAATCTGTAAACTACTTCTTCCTCCTTTGCTACTAGTAACAAGGGCATCGCTACTAGGAACAAGGGCATTACTAATAGTAGAAAGAAGCTACTAGTAGCGATGCCCTTTGTTACTAGTAGCTTCTTCCTCCTTTTTCACCTCCCGGCGGTGCCTTCAGAGTTTCAACTTGAGCCTTCAGATCTGCCACTTCTTCTGCTTCTCGATGCATCCTGACGCAAACCACAATCCCCAGCATCTCCAAACAAAACATTGAGGATCATGGAAGGCACCATTTGCACATTGTGATCGCCATTAGGTTGGAGGCCATCGCTATTAGAAACAACGAAAAAAGAAAAGTTCTTTTGGTAGCTTTATTGTTACTAGTAGCGTCCTTGCTCCTAGTAGTAAGGCCAGGAGCCCCTACTAGCGTCCTTGCTCCTAGTAGTAAGGCCAGGAGCCCCCAGTAGCGTCCTTGCTCCTAGTAGTAAGGCCAGGAG